ATGGTACGGTCCGTTGATGGACGTTCTAGTATGAACTGGGTACTCTTGGGTTGCTGGGTTACTGTCCTTATAATTCAACGGACACTCCGTGGGGTGTCGCGGACACTCCAGTAGTCCAAGATGACTACGGGGAAGGCTTTCTAGTAACTTCTTGGGGTATTGACGGACACTCCGTCGAGTTGACAGACTCCCCGCCAATCGGGCGATAGGACCTATGCTCTTGTGTGATCTTGGGGTTCAAGCTTAGATTTATGGAGTTGTGCCTCTTGCATGTGCCAAACATTCCTATGGTGGCTTAGGTGGCTCACTAAGCTCATGATGGCTGGGTTGTAAGCTAGTTTTACTAAGTGTGGCTATGGCTTAGGGATTGAATCAAAGATCATGAGAGGAGGGATGAACCTTGAGATCGAGATGAAGATCCTTAGCTCTAAGATTTAAGAACTTCGATAGCAAGAGGTTGAAGATCCCACCTTTCTTCTATCCAAGCTTCCTTCAATTCCATCATGAAGCTCTTCCATCCATCACCTTCTCCATGCATGATGGATTCTCCATTAGCAAAGCAACTTCAAGCTTGAGTGGGCTGAGGGTGTTGTCGAGATCCATGGAAAGGTGCTGATGCTCTTCTCCTTCCCTTCCTTCAATCTCTTCACTCAACCTTTCTCTCTCTAGTTCTAGGGTTCTTCCTTTGCTCAAGAGAGTGAGAGAGAGAGAGAGAGAGTTGTAAATGAATGGATGAGGGAGAGGGTGATGCTTCAGTTGAAGGATATACATTCTCTTTCATGCTGATGTGTGGGTCCCACCTACTTGAGTGACAAACAACTCATTTCCTATCTTCTACTGCTGCTCCGTGCTTATCGGATGCTTCGATAAAATGGCGGGTTGTCTGGTAGTCTCTGTCCTGTGTTGAATCGATTAAGTTATTGAACCGTGGATACTAATGGTCGATGCATCACTTCCACATATGTTCTTAAGATGTAATTGAGGTTGACGAGGTTAACATGACGAATGCTAGTCCAAGTCAGGGTTCTTTTCCTTTATGCCAGGTGTATTATCTAGTCCTTGGTGTTTTATCGTGCGGTGCATGATATGGATTTCCGTAGAACTCTTGATGATTGGCTACTCTCGTTATCCAAAAATGATTGCCTGGGTTGTAATGAATCTTGGGTCGTTACAATCATCATCCACTTGCTCCTTCTCTTGGTGTGTACCAATCCTATCTCATATTCACTTAGAGCAATGATTAGTACACATGAGGTTTCATCAATTATCAAAATCAAACTAGGGCTTTCACGTCAACGCTACAGTGGAAGGAGAGAAGGAGCGCAAGAACATGCACTCGAAGAAGCGGCGTGCGCGGAGGCGAAAAGCCAACATGGTCGTCGAGGACCGCTACGAATAGGGCGCCGGGTACGAGGGACGTGGACAACGATTGGGCCAGCCTGGTACCTTTCTTCTTCGATGAGGTGGCAGTGGTGGCTGAGCACGGGAGGCGGATGCGAGAGAATAGGAGGAGGCCTAGTAGGCAGCCCATAATAGGAAGCTATGGAGAGCTCGCCAGGCCGCCTTGGATCCGATCTGTGAGTACGATCCCTAGGATGGGAGCACCTACTACTCTCGAGTTGAACACGTTGACGACATCATCACATTCGACCACGACGAGGAGTGTAAGTAACTTCATTTTGTCTAGGCAAAATTTGCTCAGGGACACTGCAAAAACACCTAATATACTACTAGACACTAACTCCAAAATATATCCAGTACCATTATGAAATCATGATTCTTTGCCGCTGGACACCGCGCCAATTAAAATATTCATTTTCGTGGTTCAAGAGAGAGAAAGGGCGGTGAATAGACTAAATTGCCCCTGTGAGGCATCTTCCACCTCTGTACGTTAGCCATGGCTGAGGGCTGTGTGCGTGGGGGGTTGGGGGCAGCTCCGGCCGGGCTGAGCCAGCAGCATGACAGCGCCATGCGCTCGCTGGCCCGTGGAGCTGCAAGCCGCCGCGCATAGCCGCTCCCTCCATTTCTACAGCACCACCCATGCCTGCTCCATCCATTCCTGCATGCGGCCATGGCCGACGGCCATGGCGTGGGGTGAGCGCGGCCTGGCCGGGGGCGAGTGCGGCCTCGCTGGGGGTGGGCGTGGCCTCGCCGAGGGCTCGTGGCCTTGCCAGGACGGGCGCGTGGCCTTGCTGGGACGGAGTCATGGCCTCGCCGGGGGCGAGTGGCGCCTGCTGGGAAGGTTGTTGCCACGCGCTTCCATGGGATGTTTGCCGCCACCGCTGTCGTGCTTTCTAGCTAGGAGCCGAGCCGCTGCACCCGCTCTGGCCGTAGCCCGCTCAGCCGCCCCTGCTGGCCCTGGGCGCTGCCCAGGTCGCCGCCGGCAACCAGCCCCTGCTGGCCTGCTTGATCGGAGAAGGACGATGTCTGGATCTTGCCGGCCGGCCAGTGAATGACCAAATCGACCAACAACCAGAGGTTGAAGAAGAAAGGGCAGTTTAGACATTTCCCCCATCTTCTCTCTGCTCTAAACTGAAAAATGAATAATAATCGGTGCGGTGTCTTCCGGCAAAGAACACGAATTTGTAATGTCTACCAACAAATTTTGACGTTGGCGGTGTTCACTGGCCAATTACGTGTTTCTCCCGTGTCCCACAGCAAATTTTGCCTTCTGTCTAAGGTTTACTAAACTAGAACAGCTCCATGATTAATTTATTAATGTCCTGAAAAAGAAATATTAGCCCAAAACATGGGTTATGCATTCAGAATTAAATGATATAAATGGACAAATAATTGGTACTCAATTTAGTGCACCAATGTCAGTTTGTGTAACTCATATCATAGCATGCATATATCAGATGAAGACAAAAATACACAAGAACGTCCACAAAGTGGTATTATCTGATTTGTGTAAAGAACTCCTGAAGTAGGATACCTGAACTACAATTTCACAGTAACAGGCAAAGTATAGGCACTACCATTTTCATTCCAGCTAGGCACAAAATTAATTGTTATCTCTACGTTGCTAACAGATGGAAACGAAAAATAAAGGCATGTAGAAAAAATTTAGCAAGAAACCTGAGCTTTATTATGCCAGCTATGGATGTGCCACCATGTGCCCAGGCCCCCTGAGCTTCATTACACCATTTTTTAACGAAATTCATTATGCTAGTTATGGATTGATTGGATTAAACAAGATTTTCTATGAATTTTCTAAGATTAAACAAGATTTTAGGTTTTTTAATTGCGTAATTTTTCTATGTAAAAATATTTGAATAAACTTTTGAAAAAATTATTTTTATTATTTTTGGATTTTTTTAAATAATTACTTTCAACTTAGTCCGATTTACCACTTTAACGTGATGCCGTATCATCATAAAAAATCCACAAATTGTAAAAATAAACGATTTTAAAAGTTGAAGAAAGTTAAAAAAAATTGTTTTTTAGTTTTTTAGAGAGAAAAATTGGACGATTGTGATAATTGAGGGAGTCCTAGAATAAATAAACTTGTTACCAAACGCTGGACTAGGCTGGGCTGGGCTGGGCATCCATAGCGGATGACACGTAATTTCTCTTGCTCGGCCATATATGACAAGGGGAAAGGAGAGCCCTAGCAACTCGATCAGACCAAATCGGACCCGATAACACTTTGTGAGTAGGAGAGGTATGATCATCCATTCATGCTAACCGTTGCAAGCTCTAAGGATGAACACAGTGCAGAATGTATATATGTTGGCTCAAACACTGCATGTCTCTTCAAACATCCTTGCATGGAACACATCCATTTGCTCACACTCCTGATCATGGCTAGCTTGAATTTAGTGGCCTCCAATGTCTCAAAAATAACCACTAAGCATGAGTACAAGAGATGTTCCATATCAATGCCATGAGTGCCTCGCAACCGAAACTAAGCATCAATCATTCACCTACTGCTTCTACTAGTACTACTACCCTCGGCATCCTTCCATATGCATCCATATATTCTTCCTTATCACTTTGAATTTTCAATCAACATACAGTACGTAGTTGTGAATTATCACGCCTTTGCTATGAGTTTTTTGATGCATTATGCAATATCCAGAATAAGTTAACTAGAGATGACCGAGCGAACAGACCTGGGAATAAGCTTTAGTTTTTTGATGCATTATGCAATATGCCATGAGTTGTTAGTGAGCGTTGTCATTCATTTCATCCCCACCGGTTTCAACATTCATTTCTCGCAGTACAGTTTGTTATTAGATCTCTATCTGATGAGCAGCATGACCGGTTGCTCTGCAGCCTTCACTCTACTTGTCTCCACCCATAATATTCTTGCAAACTAATTTTGTTTTGACTAGCTAGGTCCTTGGAGTCAGACTTCGGCCTATGTTTTCTGTAAAAAAAATATAATCATCTATAGTTAGAAAACCAATATTATGAATATGATTGTAGTTATACATTTTTATACAGTAAATGAGCATACTTATATCTGATTATTTATATGCCTTATGTTTACTTTGAAACTTTTTGTTTTCCTTTTGTAGAGAAGCATTAGCCTTTAATTATGATTATTAATTTATGATTTATATAATTGATATATATGACTAATAATGTAGTCTTATTATTATTCATATGTATAGATTTTAGTATAGTTATATTTTAATATCTCCTTATATGATTTGTTTTCATATCATCATTGGATAAATACTTATAGACAACAAAGTTAAATGGATATTTGAATGCGACATATATATGACTTGTTTTTTAGCAACATATATATGACTTGTTTTTTTTTAGAAGAACATATGACTTGTTAATTAGGAGACGCTGTGCTGTGCTGGGTTGGGCTGCGATGGTCTTGTCTGATCTGGGCGGGGCTAGAAGAAGCCCGACATCCATATACCAAACCGTGGCGGATGAGGACATATTGGACCTTTTTTTTATAACTGTATCGTGCCTTAACAACGCGGGGCGTTCACGGCGGCGGCGTATCGGATAGGTTGCCCTTCACTTGGGTGTTCATGGCGGCGGCGGGCGGCGCCGTGGGATTCGGCTATCTCTCCTCCGTGGCGAAGGCGAACGATGACGACTGCGCAGGCTTGGAACGTTCATGCCTCGACAGGGCGGTGACGGCCGACGGCCACGCTGCGGCGGAGGATGAGAAGGAGCGCAAGGACGATGCGCGCTCCAAGAAGCGGCGTGCGTGGAGGCGGAAAGCCAACATGGCCATCGAGGATCTCTGCGAGCAGGGCGCCGCCGTGTACGGGGACGGGGACGACGAGTGGGCGGAGCTGGAACCTCTCTTCTTCGACGAGGCAGCAACAGTGGCCGAGCACGGGAGGCGGATGCAGAGAGAACAGCAGGCGGCCCACAACAGGAAGCTGTGCAGAGCCCGCGAGGCCGCCTTGAATCGGATCCGCGAGTACGATCCGAAGACTGGGAGCACCTACTACTCCCGAGTTGAACACGTCGACGACATCGCCACATTCAACCACGACGAGGAGTGTAAGTAACTTCATTTTGTTACCCACCTTTTTAGATTTGACGATTCTACTAACTCCGTATTGTTTGCTTTTTGCCATCCATGTAAGCTTATTTGATTGTTTAACTAATTGTCTATCTACACACTCCATCACTAAGCTATTCGAGTGCATGCTGAAAATTTGATTGTAATGTGCCTGCACAACCTTATTGATTGTATCTGCACAACCTCTTTTTTTCGTTTATTTGATTGTAGTCTTCATCTACTTACTGGGTCTTTGTTCATCTCGTCCACAAACAATGCATCTATGTTTCAGCAACTGTACACCTACTAGGTTTCATCCAAAACTGACATGCATCAATCAGTCTAAAGCTTTTTCTTTTCTTGCACTGCAGCGCCACTTGGTCCAATGAGAGACACTGAGGCATTGATCTATGTACATGGCACTGTAGCTTCAGATGGTGAGAAGAAGTTCATTGCCAGTGACTCTGCAAATCTCCACTCCATCGATATAACCTCCTTCTCGGATGTTAATAGCAAGGATGGCAATATGCGGTTTGTTCTAGACTGCTCTGCAAACGTCTTCTCCGTAAAGATAGTCTCCTCTGATGTTGGCTTTCCGATCGAAGTCTATGGCACCGTAATTGCCAGAGACAACATCGATCTCAAGTGTGTTTATCTCTTCCGCCGAGATAGAGATCATTGCCAACTCATCTTGTCCAAGGTAAATCAGATGCTCGTCTATGCATATTGTATGGGCTAACTTAAGATTGTATGACCTTGGGTGTCAAATAAGTTTTTGGTTGTTGTTGTGACCAAAGCACATACTGAGCTGTACTCAATGTCTATTGATCAGCAATGTAGCTGTGGTTATCAGTAAACACCTGCAATCCCCTAGGTGAATACTTCGTGGTGTGTGCTATTTTTCTCTTTTCGGATGGATTCGTATGATTTCTAAAATTGAAAACGTTCATATAATTTATCAATCATTAGAACGTAAAAAATGTGAAGTTTATTATTTCTTTGTTGCATAAAGTGGAACTGTAGTTTTATGTTAGTAGCAATAGTGCTAGCTGAAGCAACTCCCTTTATGGAGTTAAGTATGGTAAATACACATGGATCCAATCGTTTGATAATTTGAGTGTGTGGTCTTAAAATGGGTATGAAAGAGAGTAAAACTGACTTTTGAGACCTATCCTTGGGAGTTCAGTATTCATGATACTGTGAATTTTAGACCTATACTGATAAATACTTCTAGTAAGTGCTTGCACACTAATAGGATTGAATCTCTAAAGATTTCATCATGGTAGTAGCATGCTGTGTGGTTGGAATTTCTTGTACTTTTATTGCAGCAAAATATATTCAGACAAAGATACCACTGCCTTATCATCCGAACCATTTCGCAGGATGAATCATTGATTCTGACTGGCCCAAAACGAGGACTCGCGCTAAAATATTATTTGTATTTTGAGTTTGATTTGAAGATCAAGTGTGTTGGAAGGCAGAAGAACAAGCAACTAAGTAAAGGTTACATGGCATTGGATGGCTTAAATTATAGATCGTGGCAAGAAATGGAGGTTGAAAGGGAAACCCTGGACACTAAACTCAGTAAGGTGATGATTACATATGCAGTAGTCCAAAATGCAGTCGAGGCAACTTTTGCTATTGAAGTTCTGCAGGGAAGATTTTACGGAGAAATCACTGCTTGCACCACTGGTATCCGGGATAGCATTGTGCTTCATGATAGCAAAATGGCTGAAGCAATGACTGACAATGGAAAGGGAGTTATCCAACTGTTGCGAAACGTGGTAGCTGTCAGTATGAGGGAGAAGCTGATATTTACTATTGTTGCCCGGACTGGTGATGGTAAAACTAAAAGCACCACCATTAGATTTACTCCAGGAGTCATTGGTGGAGAAGAAAAAGAAATAACCTGTGGTTCCATTCAGATGTGTGTGAAGGTTACATGGTCGATAGTTTCACGTTGGTATTACCCTCATTGCTGATTATTATGATGGGGCTTGTTATGTTGGAACATCTACTAGGATTGAATGATCGTTTAAGTATTTTGTTGGGCTTTGTTACGTTGTAACCATGAAGTCTGCCTAGAATGAATAATCGTTGAATGCAAATATATGAACCTTATTATATTATGATGGTTGATTGTTTCAGCTTGAGATCGGTGATTTTGTGTGCCTACTCGGTGGTGATTGCATTCTGTTATACATTTCTCAGGTTTAAGTCGATTGTGTGAACACTCGAAAAAAATACTTCCAAGTTCCAAAAAAAGTACCCACATTCAGTAATTGAAGTGTAGGGCCTGAAAAATATACAACTGTTTTAGAACTTCTTCCATAATTTTAGAGAAATTTGTGTGCTTATGTTTTCCAGAATAAGTTAGCCAGAGATGACCGAGCGAACAGACCTGGGAAAAAGTTTTGCATCAAAATCTAAGTTGGGAGGCCCATGATCAGGTTTATTACTAGTCAAAGGGAAGAAAATCGAAAGTGAGTCCTCCTTAATTTGCACCAAACCTGAAAGCATTGCCCACCTATTGTCTGAAAGCAAACCTACCAAGCACCACACATTTGGCTCCGAACCGATACGTTCTTTCCGTCACTAATCCACGCTCTTCCCCACAGCCGGCCATGAGCTCCGCCGTGCTTGCCCGCAGGTGAGAGGCTGCGCCCGCCCACGGGAGGCCGCGCCTGCCCACATGAGGCCGCCCGCCCGCCCACGCACGCGCGAGCTCTGCACTCAGCCCACACCCCAAGCTCTCGCCGACCATGAGCTCCACCGACCGAGCACCGCTTTGGGAGCTCCTCGCGAACGCCTACCTCCCTGACGCGCCCGCCCATGGCACACGAGGACGAAGAAACCCCGGCCGGCCCTTTTTTCTTTTTTTTGCCCCCTGGCACGTGGACCCAGTTGTCAGTGAGATAGAGAGAAGCACTAGAGATGTATCAAACACTTTGACGAATCTTTCAGATTCACTTTTTTTTGAACGGTGGAGCTCTACCAAACAAGCCTCATCTACAGCGGTAACCCTAAATTAGGGTATACTTTTTATCTATGGGCTTCTGCTTTTGGGTGCTTTTTTCTAGGCTCAATTCTAGTAAGTCCTTTGCTTATGACATATGGGACCCTCGGTCACTAATATAACTTCTTTTTATTTATTTCGCCTCTCGCTTCACCATCTCACTTTCTCCTGGACCGCCTCACTAGTGGAGGGACGGGCTTTACTCCCGGTGGAGAACCCCCTCTAGTCCTGGTTCCCCACCTGGGAGTAAGCATCCGGGACTAAAGGGGGGTCCTTTAGTCTCGGGTTGGGAATCGGGACTAAAGGTCCTCCCAGCTTTAAAAAAATAATGCCTCCCACCGCTGCGTCCCGTGAGATTCGAACCCAAGACCTCATGCATTGCCTCGCGCGTAGCTTACCACCCCACCTACACAACATATGTTACCAACCGGGACTAAAGAGTCTACTCGGTTGGTGTTACCAACCGGGACTAAAGGTTGGAGGACTTTTAGTCCCAGTTGGTGGCTCCAACCAGGAGTAAAGGTCCACCTTTAGTCCCGGTTGGTGTCTCCAACCGGGACTAAAGGTCCCCTGCCACTGCGGCCTTGATAAGTTGGGCAGGGACCTTTAGTCCCGGTTGAGACACCAACCGGGACTAAAGGTCTCTCTAGTCCCAGGCGCAAAAAATGCAGGGACTAGAGCCCATTTTGGCCTCGGATGAAATGTCTGTTCTCTACTAGTGCCTCTTAGGCTCTGCTACCATCGCCGCCTCGTCATCCTCGACTAGTCGACCTTGACCACAACCGCAAACCTCCTCGGCCAACCGACACTCCTCCCGCTCGCCTCAACGCCATAGAAAGAAGGCATAAGTTGCGGTGGGCGCTGGGATGACAGCACCTCGGCCTCAGCCTGTGAGGTACCGATCGCATCAGCCGAGCGTATTCACCATTTGGTGTGATTTTAGAGAAAATGAGGAATAAGTGAGAGATATCCTCACTGTTGCTGTAGGATAAAGTGATTTTTTTTAATTCACAACACACGTGTAATCAAATACAATTGAATTTATGTTTGTCGGTCTTTACCCTCCTGAGTAAGCAAAATGTGAGCCAAGCCGATTATGATGTTATATACAGGAATACAATAGCAGATTACAGTTCAAATCGCCAATACTTTCAGGATAAGGATCTATCTACAGTGATATTTTTCAGAGTTGCATAAATACGGGTAGCATGGCGTGTGATCCTCGGACGATTTGGTGAATCCAAACGGTATGTCATATTCAGTGAAAGGCCAAACCATATTGCTTCAGTGGAGTTGCAAACTTTATCGCTGAACTCAAGAAGCACATATAATCAAAGCTGTATACTCACAAGTTGACGGTGTTTCCATCACAAGTTCAGGCTGTTCCTCTTCAGTTCATTCAGAGAGATGCTTTCTAAGCTGCCAATGTCGAAATCTCTAAATCTTGATGTTGGAGCTTCATCCCCTGTGCATTTTCTTTGCAAAAGATATCACATATAAATTCATTAACTGATGTATCAAACAAAAATGATGGTGCATCCATCAATACGTTACATTTCACAGTTATCTAGTATAAGCTAACAGTAGCATTTGATGTTAAAGTATTGAACTACAGATGCAAGATGCAATGGTGCTTATGGTAAAATACAGTGCCCAGAGCCCTTTTTATTGTGTACTGGTGTGTTATTTAGTGATAATATTAAATTTGATTGTCTGCCATCTATACTATGGTAAAAATTGAGCTTCTGTAAGCATGTATGCAAGTCCTTGAACAATGCTCACATCGGGTAGCGAAAATAACACTTGTGCTTATCTTTTCAATATACATGGAGTAGAGGATGGATGTTGTGCAACGACCGCACAGGTATGAAACACACTGCCACTGCACTCTGAATACTGCTGTGACTACATAACTGTATAAGCATATTCTGACCATTTTCCTAGAGTTATTGACATTGTAAACAAAAACAGGTGCAGTATTCACCTAACTCCTGATGTGCACATGCTCCCATGTGCCCTAGTTCCATTGGTTCTCTATATCAGATTCTCAATGTATGTGTTTTAGTTCAGTACCTTTGGTGGTTCATCATATTGAGAGTGGGTTGTAAGGGGTTATTTGAAAAGTGCACTGTATTAAAAACAATGCAAGCTTATATGTGTGACTAAGGTATATATTGCATGAGAGAGATAATATATAGCCTTGGACCTGAAATATAAGAGGTTATAAGACAAATCAAGGGACCATGGGATGCTAAATAGATGTCCATGCGTAGTTCGGGAAAAAAAAGATAAATAAGTACATACATTGAGAAAATATTAGGAAAGAGACCATAATAATTATTCAAGCAATCAATGCAACAATAGCAATCAACTGTTTCCATTTTCCAACAGCACAATACTATCAGAAGGTATTACTTTCACACTACAGAGGTCTGTGTACATATTTGGATGTTTTGCTATTTCCATGACATTTCACCGCAATTATGTACTCATTCTACCTTTCTTTTCCTTTTATAAGGTGTCTAAGGATTTGGACAAGACTTTAAATTGTGTAATTTGACCATCAATTTCTCTTGCAATATATCGCCAATTGCTACAAAATCAATTTCGTATTAAAAGATTTGTGAACTGAACCTATTGATATAAGTTCAATTCACTAACCGTACACATAATGTGACTAGCTATTAGTTGACATTTATTAATTTGACCTTTTCAAATCCTAATACATTCTGTTCCTGTAATAAACAGAGTAAATGTTTAAGTAATAAAGCAAGTCCAGACTACGTAAATAGATGCAATTGTATGTAATGATCAGACCAGGTTCCATTGGTTCTTGAAAGTACAAAATAAGCTAAATTTATACATGTAAACACCCAGAAAACAATTAAGTAATTATTGATAACAGAACATCAATTATTTTTTCATGTATAAATTTAGCTTAGTTTTGAAGAAATAAAAAAGGGAGAGTAAATTTTGCAAAACTACAGATACTTTGGCAAACTTACCACAAAACTACAGATTTAAGCTGAAGCATCAGTGTTATGTTACATGATTATATCTATAAAGTTTGCGCCAATGCAAACCTTGCTCAAAACAATCAGGCTTCGGAGGCAAAGGATAATTATCTTCTACCAGCTTAAGAAGGAGCTCTTAGGACCATAAACGAAATCTTCCAATTCAATGCCCTGCCACATACATTTGAATTAGGAAATAAAATTTTGTACATAGCAACAAGTTCAAGAGCACCCACACCTTTCTCAAGAGCACCTGAAAATTTATCCCACAGCATGAGCAATAGCATACATCGTTATAATTCACAGGTTAAATTTCTGATAAAATCTAATGGAGCATAGTAGTATCACATAAGGGGTACAATGCTTACTGTTGTGAAATATATATGCCTAAAACTGAGAAGTCCATTATTGCCGAGACAAAGGGATATTTGGCTTACATTAATACAGTGTGCAAAGAACCAATAATGGGTGTCTTTGTATGTTTCTTCTCCCAAAACAAAAGGGAAAAGATACCTCACAGTGTAGTAGTGTGATTTTTTATAACAATTTTCAATTAGAACCTGCAATTTATAAATCTCTATGGAAAGTGGTAATCTATAAGCATTTTTAGAACAATCTAATGAACAGTGAAAGTAGATAGTGTTGTCCTATCATTCAAGTAAAGAAAAGTGCAGATAAAGTGCCAGTTCATTTCCATTTAATTTGGGTTAAATGCTAATTAACACCAAACACATCTGATTGATAATATTGAGATTCTCTTTCTGATTGCTTCCAAGCCTTCTATGGCACAACAAAATGTACAAGAGCTGCAAATATCGTTTTTATATGGACAACTACAAGTAAACTATTGTTACAGCCTTAGATGTACTTAGCTTCTGTAGTTATGATAGCTTCACCACTGAGAGATTGGGAACAAGTACTGTAAGATGCATCAACTGACAGGGGGTCCTTT